GGCCACCGGCCGGGGGGGGCGCTGACCCCCTGCGTGTCCTGCGCGCAGTGGGCGGCCGCGTGGACTTCGAGGACTTCGTGCAGATGATGGGCCCGAAGCTGCGGGAGGAGCCGGCGCACATGGTGGGCGTGCGGGAGCTCAGGATCGCCTTCCGCGAGGTACCGGCGCCGCGGGACCGGAGCCGGGATGCCGGAGCGCCGTGGCCGGGCGAGCGGAGTGCAGCCAGGGACGGCTAGAGCTGCACGTCAGCAGGGGAACAGAGAGGAGCGTGGTCACGGGGGAAGCATGTTGAGGGGGCGGCCGTGCGCATTGAGGGGGCGGGAACCACTGGAGGTCCATGAAGGGACCATGATCATCGGGAAACCATGACCATGAGGGTGACTGTGGACATGAGGGAACCATCTCTGGGGAGACCAGGACCGTGAGGGTGACCATGGCCACGGTGGTGGTCGTGGTCACAGGGGCGCCGTGTCCGGGGGGGGTGACCACAGGCATGGAGGGGAGAAGAACTATGGGGACACCATGGAGGACCATGACCATGACAGGTGCCGTGAGGATGAGCACGGCCGCAGGGAGAGGATGGCGGCGGGTAGGTGAGGGCACGGAGTGGTGGGGAGAGCGCTTGCCCTCCCGACGTGCCGGCACCGGCAGTTCGACGTGAACGGGGATGGGGAGATCAGCAGCTCAGAGATGCGGGAGGCCATTGCCGCGCTCCTCGGGGAGCAGCTCAAGGCGCAGGAGGTGGATGAGATCCTGCAGGACGTGGACCTCAATGGGGACGGCCGCGTGGACTTTGACGGTGAGGAAGGGACCCCTTGTGGCCCCAGAGCTCCCTGGCCTAATAGCTTGAGGGGGCGGCGCTGGGTGTGACGAGGGATGGGGCCATGGTGGCCGCGCATGGCAGGGTCCCTCGGCCCTGCCTCCACCTAACGCTGTGCTCCTCGCTCACCCGCAGAGTTTGTCATGATGCTGTCGTCCCGATAACGGGGCCGTGCGGGAGGAGGGGACCCCGGGCTGAGCCGTGTCCCTGTCAGCACGTGCGGGCACCTCCCCGTCCCCCCACATCCTGCCTGCCCGGTGAGCACCGGTCGTCCAAACCTCTCTGGCCAGCGTTAAGTTTCAGAGTGAACAGCTGAAGCGGAGCCCCTATCCAGGAGCTGGAGGTGGGCAGACACGAGACTCCCCCGCCGTGCACTCAATATCCCCTCAGAGGTAGCAGCAGGGGCCGGGCCAGGCCGGGCTGGGCGAAACCCAATAAAACTTGCTCCGACGTGGAGGAAACCGCCTGCTGGTTGTGCGGCAGGAAAAGGGGGTCTCCAGGGCCACCCCGGACAGTGCCAGGACCCTGGACAAGGACCCGGAGCGTCCCCGTGTGGGTGAGCGCAGCTGGCAGCGGTGTGTGTGCACGAGGGTGTCCCTGTGGGGCACGGTGACGGGAGCCCCGGTGCGGGCCCAGGGCCCCCCAGGCGCCCCTGCCCTGCCAGCTCCATGGCGCAGGGGTCGTGGCGGCTGCATCACGCGTGGAAGGACCTGGGTTCAAGCCCCAGCAGAGCCCGCGTGCTCCTTTTGGCCCCCCCCACAGGGCTGCGCTGGGCCCCTGGGTACCACTGTGGGGCCATGCTGCCCACGGGGACGCTTGGGAGATGTTTTCTGGTGGGGAAAATGGGGCTGGACCCTTAGACAGGTGTCCTGGGCCTTTGCTTTGGACCTCCCCGAGGAGGGAATGGGGCTGGGGAAAAAAGGGAACCCCTGGGGGCATAAAGGCCCCAAGGGGGCTGTGGCTCCACTGGGGCTCGAACCCAGGTCCTTCTGCGTGTAAAGCAGACGTGATGACCCCTACACCATGGAGCCAGCCCTGGGGACACCCCCGGGCTGGGAATGTCACCCCGGAGTGGTGGGCAGGGGACACAAGGGACATGGGCCACCCTGGCCTCCGCTGCTGCGCTCGTGCCCTGGCGAGGGTGGGCGCCCCTGCGCTCGGTGGCACCAGGGCCACCTTGGGCCACCCTTGGGCCCCTGGTGGGGGGGCGGGGGGAGGAGCCCAGGAAGAGGGTGGCTCTGTGGCGCAACGGAGAGCGCGTTGGACTTCTAGCAGCAGCGGGCGGCATTCAAAGGTTGTGGGTTCGAGTCCCACCAGAGTCGTATTTTGCGCGGGACCCGATCCCCATCCCTCCGCGCACGCAGTGTAAGAGGAGAAATTCCGGCAGGAGGGGTCTGTTTCCTTGCCTTTAGCTATCGTTTTTTTAAAAAATCTGCCATTTCCAAGGCAAGAATTTAATGGGGAAACACATGCGCATTGATCTCTGTACATCAGTATGGAGGGCTCTCTCCCAGCTCCACACTGTGACGGTCCAGGAGTGTAAAAGCCTCGTTGGACCTCGGGAGCGGCAGTCAGGAATGACGGTGACACCATTCAGAGGGAGGGACATAGAAGGAGCCGATTTTCCTTCCTCTGCCGCACCCGATTTCCAGCAGGAGAGGAGGCCTGCGCCAGATGTGCTGATGTCAGCACCCGGCACTGCACCAGATGTGGCCTGGATGTTGCAGGATGAGGCTGTTCTGGGCCTTTAAGCGAAATCTTGCGTTTGTTTGATGCGGCTGAAGAATTCCTGGGAGAAACTCTGCTATTTGGGAAGCAAATCAGCATTTACTTCCCCAGATGCCAAATGCAACCAGCCCCACATTCCCGAACAAGCCGGCAACAGGGGCGCAGGAGGCCGAGCACGGTTCTCACCCCATTTTCACCCCCGAAACAGCCTTTGCTGAGGCTTGTGTCTGACCCCGCAAAACCGTCCGTGCTCAGTCCCTTGGTCACACCTTTATTTCCAGATAAGCGATTCTGCTGAGCACAGGAGGTTTCAGCTGCTATCACGTCCCCTTTGCCCAGAACACGGGGCCCGTTGCGAGCAGCCCCGTGGGTGGCGTGGGAGGAGGCAGGCGCCGCACGCGCCAAATAAACCCAGGCTGCCACAAACCCCACTGCTTCGTGACTGCCACTCCTTGCGTTCCCCTCGCTGTCAGTCACAGCTGACAAACAACAGAATGTTTCCTAAACTGTGAGAAATAACCTTAAAATGGCGTTGTTTGCTAACAAGGCACACACCCTGCTTTGCAAGAGGTGGTCACGCTCCTGCACATCCCGTGCCAGCCGGGGAGGTGGGAAGGGGCTGGTGCATCATCCCCTGCCCTGCTAACCCCAGGCCCCTGTCCTGCTGTTCAGAGCTGCCACGCGCTGCTTCGTCACCCTCCTTCCGGCTGCAGCCACCAACAAAGAACAAGAGGTCGGTTGGGCAAAACAGGGCCGAGGTTTCGCGTCAGATCTCTGGTCAGAAAGGGGGAGGGATAACGAACCACGAGCTCCACTGTGAATTTTATTAATTGAAAAGGCATTTCGACACAGCCAGCCTCTGTGGACAAAGACCCACCTGCCTCGTGGCTCTGTCCTAGCACTTGACAGCGCTATGAGCCAGCCTGGAGACCCGGTTAATTAACTGAGACAGCAAACCGCTTAATTAACCAGCTCCCGGACACAGCACAGTGTGAATGGCACGAGCAGCCTCAGCTCTGCCCCTCAAAGATTCAGCCCCTTCTTCCCAATCACATTGCTTGGCAGCCAAAAGGAGGGGGACGATCCCGACTGAAAACTTGGTGCCATGGTGCAGATTGGGGCCATTTGGTGGGGAGGGCCTGCAGGCCTCCAGCAGAGAGAACACCCAGGGATATTCCTCTGCCTGCGAGAAAAGGGAAGTGCGGCAGAGCCGCTCGGCCGGGGCACACGCTGTACTGCAACACCCACGTCCTGTGTGTGTGTCAGGACACGAGGTCACTGTGGCTGAAAGGGCTCCCTGAGTGCATCTGTGAGCCGCCCTGCGGGCACCCGTGCTCTCCAGGGCCTGGGACACCCTGTATGGCCCAGCAGGACGGACCCGGCACAGTGCAGCATTGGCTCTTGCTGCTGCAGGCACCAAAGCTTCCCTGTGTTTGGGAGCAGCAGGCTCAGAGCAGGCCCCACGCAGCCGAACGCAGCAGGGGTCAGTTCTGCCCTGGCACAGGGAGCCGCAAGAGGAGGGGACCCCTCATCAACAGGAGGGGACCCCGCAGCCACGGGGGCCATGGTGGCTGGTGGCAGAGCCACGCTGTGTCCTGCAGCACGGGGGGGACGCTGGGGACCCCATCCCCTCCGCGATCCTCGGGCTCTCACACGCGCACGGCCGGCGGAGGGAAGATGCTCATCTCCTCGCGCAGGGAAGCCACTGTCTGCTCCCAGCGCTGCTCGTAGTAGATGTTGAGGATACAGTTGGCATTGCGCCCGCTCCGAATCGCCCAGGGAATCAGCTCTGTAGCCAGGACCTGCAATTTTCTGGAACAAGAAGCGCAGAAAGGGTTTGATTTGAGCCTCCAAGTCCTGATACCAGGCAGACGCCAACCTCCCCTGCCCACAGCACCTCCAGCCCCTTCACCCTTCCAGCAATCCTGCTGCTCATCCCAGGGGACACCGCGCAGAGGAGGACAGCGGGCTGGGAAGGTCACAGCCAGACACCAATCCCAGAGCAGCACAGGGCTAACAGGCGACCCCAGCCCTGCGTCGAGCCCCCGCACGGATGTGCTGGGACGGGCAGGGCTGCCAGCACAGGGAGCCCCGCTGGCTCCGTGCGGTGCCCGGCGCTGGGCGTCCCTCCCGTGCGGGCACGGCAGGGAGGCAGCTGCACACAGGGACACGGGGGAGGAAGGCTGGAGGCAGGTGCAGGATCACGTCCTGCCTCATCGTCTCCTGCTTCAGCAACCAGGTGAAGCCTCCCGAAACCACCACGTCCCCGGGCCCAGTGCCAGCGCAGCAGGCACACGCCAGGGATCGCCGCAGAGCAGCGGTGTCACCTTTCCGCTCCCCAGAGGACACCGCAGAGCGTCCCCAAGGCTGGCACGTCCCCAAGGCAGAGGCTCCCTCCTCGGCGGAGCCCATCGGTGCCTACCGTGCGTTGAGACGAACGGGGCCGAAGGCTGCGCCCAGGACGCACATGGGCAGCCCTGTCTGGATGGCCTCAAACCACTTCACCACGACCTCCCCTGCGAGGACAGGACACAGGGATGCGGTCAGAGCTGGCACCCTGCTCAGGGTGCCCCCTCTCAAGGACGGCTGCACATCTGCCCCCAGTGCACGCAGCAGGATTCGGAGCATCCTGGCCCCCAGGCCTGGCAGTGCTCTGATCCCAAGGCAGGGCAAGACTCGTCAGGCATCGCCCCCCTCCAAAGGGACATCCCAGGCCCCAGGGAGCAGCACGGAACAGCCAAAGCCCCCGAGCCTGGGAAGGGCCTTGCTGGGTGAGCCTGGCTCCTCCAAACGCTCAGCAAAGCTCCCCACCAGCCCAACCCTCCCCCACGGCCCTCCCCACCTCCGAGTTGGGAAAGACCTTTTCCAAACATCCCATCTCAGCCCCAGCCTGCTGAGAGAGACCTGAAATGCTGGTTCCCCCGGGCGCCTTGGCACGGCTCGGCTGGGGCTTGCTCCTGAGTCAGCCGCCCAAGGAGAGCAAAGGGCACAGCCACGAGCAGATAAGAAGCTACCATGAACCCCCCGACACAAACACACTCCTGCCCTGGCTCAGAGCTTGCAAAACTCCCCTGCCTCGGTGCCACCCTCGCTGCTGGGATGCAAGCACCGACCCACGCGGTGCCCGTGCCTGTCCTGGGCTTGCCGCGTGCCTTGCCAAGCAGGGCAAAGGTGACGCAGGGCAGACGTCCAAGGCCCGTGGCCTCTCGGCCGCCAATGACACAGGGTGGTGATGATACAAACCTCCCCACACCCCAGACTGAGGGGCAGGGAGTCCAACCTGCTCAGGGCCCGGGAGAGGGGGCCAAGCACCCACCCTGGGTTCACAGCACAGACCTCGGAGCCCCGGGGCTGGACTGAGCTCCCCTTGGCTCCCTGCTCAGCTCTGCGCTCCCGGCGCTCACCCAGCGCGGTGGTGGGTGCTCACCCAGCATGTTGGTGGGCATGCCCAGCATTGTGTGCATCAGGTCGTGGACTTCCCGGTACCTCTGGATCACATACGCCAACTCTTCATCATCCACAAACTTGGCCGGCATTCGCGTGTCCGGAGAAACCTTCTGCAAACCCAAAGAGATCCAATTCAGGCACTTCTGCCTGGGTCAGCATTGCAATGAAAACCAAGAGCCACCCAAGCCTAGCACGGGTGACATATCCATGTACCCAACAGCACAGCACAGCCTCCCAAGTCCCACTTCATCAACCCATTCATTTTCTGGGGGCTCCCTACGGGTTGCTCCATGACTCCAAGCTCCCTCTGGTGCTCACGATGCTCCTGGCTCTGGGCTCAACTACAGCCATTTGTGCCCTGCAAAATCCCCCACTCACATTGTCTTCCAGAAACCGCAGGTATTCCCGGCCCAACGTGCCATCCGGCAACCGCCGCAGCCCCTCCACGTCCAGGGTGGAGAGACGGATGCGAGGACGCTCCCTGAAAACAAAGAGCAAGTCACTAAGTCTCCCAGGGAAACACTTGCATCTGGGTGACCTAGAGAAAAAGCTGGAAATCACCATTCCCTGCTCTGCCCTTCCTGGGTATTTTCCTGCAGATCAACCCCAGCAGGGATGTCACTGTCTTTATCTTTATTGATGGCAGTAGGGCACAAAATGCTGAAAGCAACTGCCTGAAGCCTTGGCAAGAGCAGGGCTCTCATCTTGCTCCCCTTCAGCAACTCCAGTTGGAAAAGCATCAATCTGTTATGCACAGTGACCCTGCGACGCTGCCCTGCTGGCTGGCAAACAGCCACCGCTCCCCGCAGCAGGGCCCAAGGGAGCGGGAGCTTCATTGCCCCTTCAAGGCAGCCACAACTTCAAAGGAACAACCCTGAGGAGGGAGGGAATTGCTCTCAATTTTTCTCCCTCCTGCCTGGGTTTTCATCAGGAGCCACGTGGCAGCCGTGCACAGGCTGCTCTCCAGTCCGGGCTGCTGGCAAACAAAAGCTCCTTCGTTTCTGCCTGCAGAAGAAGCTCTTCCCCTGTCAAAGCCTTGCACTGGATCAGGGAGCTGCTCAGCCAGGGCTAAGCAGGGCTGGCAAGAGCTTTACCCTGGCTTCAGGCACTTTGTACTTTCGTGTCAAAGGGACCTCAGCAATTCAGAGGATTAAACACTAAGCAAAACAAAAGGTGGGTGTGCACAAATTAGACTGCTGCAAATCCCCGGGACACCAGCGGGTGCACAGAAGAAGTGGGAACTTCCCTTTGCCCCAGTGCTCCCTGGGCTCGCTGAGCAGTTTCTCTAGGGCTCAGCCCCCTCTCCTGGTGCCCTGGGAGCTTTGCCGTGGAGTGGCTGGAGCCCCAGGCAGGATCAGGCTTTCCTGCACAAACACATCAGAAACGGCAGCCTCTCCCCCAGGCGCTTCATGGTACAGCTGGAGCCCAGGGCACCGCAGGCAGCAGACACAGCACGTAGGGAGAGAAGGGCAGGAAATAAGCAGCAAGATGATCTTGGCTAATAACAGGCTCACAATGTCCTTCCCGGTCCCCAGCCTTGCTGTGCTCAACAGTTCCGTGCAGGCACTCAAAGGGATCAAACTTAAAACCAACACAAGAAGTGTTCTTATTTCCCAGCCTTAGGAGGTGCCATTGGGCTACCTGGAAAGAAAGGACAGAGGTGTCTAGAGGAAAGCGGAGCAGCAGGTGATGAAGTCTTCAATGCAGGGAGATGCAGCAGCAGGCACAGGGGAGAAAAAAAAACACACCATGACCACAAATTTTATCAGATCTAAGAGAGAAGGTGCCTCCCAGTTACAGCAGCAAAGCAGGACAGCACTAGTGCCTGAAATAGGCCTGGGCTCCTGTAGCTTTTGTGCTCTTCTCCTGAGGCTTTTGCGATGTTAAAATAAAGCAAAATAAACAATCTGGAGGATTAAAACTAACAAAATGCCTGTGTCCCTCTTAGGACAGGGACTCTCCTTTGGCAGGGCCCAAGGTTCATGCTGGGCAGGTGCCTCAGTCCCCACCACAAACCACGGATGCGGAGGGACGCACTGGAGGACGCGGGAGCCTTCGGGGTCATTCTTCATCTTGTCTCGCAGGTTGGGCAGGACAAGGCAACCCGTTGTCTCTCCCAAGACTGCCACCATGTCTGAAAGAGAGAGCAGGATGTGACCCAAGAGCAGCAGACAAGCAGCATTAGAGGTGCTGATTTTCACAACACCCAGCTGTCCTCATCCGCAGGTGAGGAAATGAGACATCCCTTTGGGCAGGAGCATGCAGGAAGCTTGTGGCAAAGACAAGGGCTCAGCGTTGGCGCTGGCCATGGATTGCCCACGTCAGGGTTATGCTGCTTGGTCTGACCTGCAGGGAGGGACACGGGGGCAGATATGAGGTGTTTCCAGGCCTGGGAGAGCCGGATGCGGCTGGATGGCATCATTCTCGACAGGAGAATTTTTACGGGGTGCAGGGGAATCCTTCACCCCTCTTCCCCTGCCTCCTGCCCTGCATCTCCCCATTAACAAATGCCTCCCCCAACAGAAGGAGAACCCAAATCCCTCAAGAAACCCCCAGCAGCGACACAGGCGGGAGTTGCTGGATGTGAGTAGGTGGATCCTGGGTGGAAGGAAAGCCACCGTGGCTCCGCTTACCGTGTCTGTAGGGGTCATAGAGGGCCACGAGCGCGGAGCCCGCGGCCAGCAGCGCTTTCTGCAGCGGGCTGGTGGGGATGTGCCCGGGGTAGAGCCGGCAGCCGCCATCCTGCTCCCCGGCGTATCCGTCCTCCGCCGGCTCCGCGTGGCTCCAACGGACGCTGCCTGCGGGGAGCACTCCG